CAATCGTATTTATTTCAGTTTCTCAATCTCGAAAAATCATCAAGTACGATTTTTTGTAGCATCAATATAAATGTTGGGAAATTTTATGGCAATTTCTTTTATTTCTATTTACCAGTAGGATCTTTTGTTATTTAAAAGGATATTAGCATGCAAGGAAAAATAAAGAATATAAAGCACAAATTAAACGGACCGTAAAAACTTTTCATTAAATGAAAATTGTTACAATCATATAAAATTTCACTCGCCAACACAATCCTCAACTCAAGTATTACAAAGAAAAAAATAAACTCGAGTTTTACCACACCTACTTTTCTACCCAATTTACAAAAAGTCTCAAAATGCTAGGCTCACAATATTTTCCTCTTAGATCAATGCTATGACCACATCAAAAATAATGAAATACATCCACTATTTATAGGATTAATAACCAAGTAGAAGAGTTTAATTTAAATTCAGACAAGACTCCTTTAACTTAACAAGGATTCTTTCATGTGCAAGACTCCAAAATCAGTTGTAAACAGGAGATCGAATTCCGCAAGGATTTTGCTCTCAACTTTAACTAGTAGTCTTCCATATAATAACTACATTTTATTATTTGCAATAGAAGTCCTTCATCTTTTGACTTTTGAGGCAATTACCCAATAATCTCCACCTTGTCGAAAATGAGTTAAAATCTTGTTATCTCTTCTACAACTTTTAATCACAATACTTGGAAAAAAAGGTAAGCCTTTGACACATTTAACGGTCCCATACTCCACCATATGAGTATAACCACTCATAAATATCCGCGAACTCCGAGCATTTCATTGGCTACATGTTGAAACAACTTTGCTGATAGTTATGATGCAACTCTCCCACTGACTTTTTCAGAGAGCTCATCAGTCATCGACATCACAATACCACCACATACCTACACACCTTGCAAATGTCAGTTAATACTATGTGCAGATATGCTGACCTCGCCAGTAAGAACAGATCTCCGATCATGGCAACTGGCGACATGTCATAAGAATGTTCCTATGTTACTTTACAGCACCAATCCTCCTTCGCCAGGATAGACGCATTATCTAACCTGAAGCAATTAGCCGACCCTACTTCGCCTTTTGGAGAATTTTTCCTCACACGTCCAGTCTGACCGTAGTTCCAAAAGTTGCTTTCTTTCTCATGGAGTTGCAAATCTTGCCAAAACTCTTGGTTGGATTTCCTTTTAAAGCCTTGTGCAGTTCAACTTGAATTAATAAATCCTTAACTTATACTTGCCACAAGCCAAAATTGATTCCCTCATCAAATTTCACCACGTCATATTTCAACGAGGACATATTTTTTTGTTGCTCAAATACTCCGAACCACCTAACGCTCTGATACCACTTATTGGAAAATTTTACAACAATTCCCTTTATTTTTATTTACACGCGGGATCTTTTGTTATTCAATAGAATATTAGCAAATAAGGAAAAATAAAGAATATAATACACAAATTAAATAGAATTTCAAAACTTTTCAGTATATGAAAAATTGAAATAAACTTGAGTTTTACCACACCTACTTTTCTACCCAGTTTACAAAAAGTCTCAAGATACTAGACTCACAATATTTTCCTCTTCGATAAACTCTCTTGTCACATCCAAAATAATGAAATATATCCACTATTTTTAGGATCAATAACTAAGTAGAAGAGTTTAATTTAAACTCAAATAAGGCCCATTTAACTCAACAATGATTCCCTCATGTGCAAGACTCCAAAATCGATTGTAAATTGGAAACCAAATTCTGCAAGATTTCTGCTCTCAACTTTGACTAGAAGTTTTCCATACAATAACTATCTTTTATTATTTGCAATAGAAGTCCTCCAAATTTTGACTTTTGAGGCAATTACCCAACAATATTAAAGAAATTGTAATAAATGACTTTTTTTAATGTAGAGTTAATTGAATGGAATTCACATTCGACCCATGTTAGAGTTGGAGTTAAGTAGCTTCAAATCAATCTATAGTTAAAAAATAGGACGAATATATTACATTACAAATATTTTAAGCAACCGAAAATTTTCCAATGTTTCTAAACCTGTCCCGTAAACAGGTGGCTTAGATTAATCACCAATTCGAGTTCTTAATTGGATTACTTGGCAATAGAATCAGCCCTAACATGTCCAAACTGGATATCCAACTTCCCATCTCGACCTTTTACCCAATATCTCCTTTTCTTTCAAAGCAAAAAATTGTTTAATTACTCTTGAAGAACTCAGATAGGAGATATCTTGATTTTAAATGTCTTCCTTCTTACCTTGAAATTTCATCGATTTATTGCTAGTAGAAAAATATCATTTTTTTTTCCATTAATCCTAATAAATAAATAGGTTGATTGAAATGATGCAACTTGGTAAATGGAGTGAAAAAGAAAATTAATTTTCAACATTGATGCAAGTGTATCAAAATCGAATTTATGGAAGGGCTAAATTCAGTTATAATTAAGGCCACGTTTGGTAAAGCTATTTTTTTTTTGCTAAAAAATGGGTCGAAATTCATTTTTAACCATACTAAATCAGTTAAATTTCATTTTTAACCATACTTTTCATTTTCCCACCTTTTTTATCCAGTTTTTGATCATAAATTATCTTCTAAAAAGCTTCCTCAAACATGGACTGAATAATCCCAATACCAATAATACAATTTCGATAATATTATACTATTATAAATTACAAAACTCTTTATATGCACTTATATATGGTTTAGTTTAATCATTAAGAATTTTATAAATTTTCTACATGAATTTGACATCGATCTTGATTGAATAACAATTCACTGTAAAGACAAGAACTGCTAGACCATTAGTGGCTGCAATTTCATTGGGAGATATGCTATACGTACATATTCTTTACAGATGTAAACTTGTCATTTTTTCATTGGCAATTAGCTTAAAAAAAAAAAAAAAAGTGGCCAATCAAGTGCTATGTAAAGATTCTGTGAAAAAAAACAAATTTTCTAGTGCCTTATGGTCCTGCAAAGAATTCACAAACAAGCCTATCTGCAGGTGGTTTTGAGAGCTGTGATTCGTAATTGCTCAATATCAGTCTATAATCCTCCTGACAGCTAGTAATTGCGACTAACAGCTTTCAAATCCATGAAACGGAAAGAAATTCATCGGGGCAAACAGCAGAAAGAATGTGGAATCGGGCAGAGACCCGTCTATTATTATTTTTATTTTGAAATGATTCCAGGTTTTGAATTGTGAATCATGGCTTGTTTCTGAATGAACCTGATCAGTTCTAAAGCTGAAAATTGATCGACGAAATGAAGCAAAAGTTATAGGGAAACCTTGATTATCTGAAGAAGGATGATCCGACCACAAAAATCCTCATATAAACCAGCAAAGAAACTTTAATGAAGAATTCCTATGTATAAAAGAAGACACCTTCAGTTCAATTTTAAGAAAAGACAATACGACAATAAGGTAACAGTTGGTTTAGCTATACATTTCGAGAGATGGAATATTTTTATCAACTTTTCAATCATATATTTACTGAAAATCTGATTTTTGCCCAAACCAAACAGAGCTCATTTCTATTCAAACATGCACTTATTATTGTTTTCCGAACATTCGATTGAATGACTTTACGTGAATCTACGCACTTATAAGTTGTGTTATCATTTCTATCTCGTCCTTGTTCAATAAACAAAAAAGAAGTATATCTTTAGACCAAAAAATTATCTATTAATTAGCTAATATAACAGCAAGGATTATTTTTCTAACGTTAGTAATAGGAAAAATAAATAAAATGTCGGGACAAGTTCACATCCACGTTGGATAACGAGTTAACGAACTGTCATTAATTAGCTTCCAATTTCCTCTTTCCTTTATTTATTTATTTTTTATATTCAAGTTTTCCAGCTTACACTAAACTAAATCCTGGACCTCCAAGACTCATGCTCCTAGAACATTGGAGGGGGTAAATCGCGATTTATGCCTCAACTGGATCACAAGTTCCCCCCATTAACTGTACACTTCTGCGCATAAAAGACCATCCTCCACAGTAATTGCTCCATAAGTAATTTTTGGCTGCAGGTTCCCGCTGGGAATCGAACTCTCCACCCTGTCGCTGGAAGCAAGCCAATATTAATTAATCCACCAGTTGAGCTGTGCCCCGGGGGCTCCTCTTTCCTTTATTGGACTCACCCTATGTGGCTAATGTTTAAAAACGCTTGGGATCACAAGTTCCCCCCATTAACTGTACACTTCTGCGCATAAAAGACCATCCTCCACAGTAATTGCTCCATAAGTAATTTTTGGCTGCAGGTTCCCGCTGGGAATCGAACTCTCCACCCTGTCGCTGGAAGCAAGCCAATATTAATTAATCCACCAGTTGAGCTGTGCCCCGGGGGCTCCTCTTTCCTTTATTGGACTCACCCTATGTGGCTAATGTTTAAAAACGCTTGAGAGGCTCTTTATTTTTAAAAACCATATTCTATTATTTGGAGGACATTTATAAGTTTAGAGAACTAAAATTTTGAAATACTCCAGCAAGTTTTTTTTATATTTAATACATAATTTTACTACTTCCAAAATATTTTATTATTTTTCTTTATATTTTATTTTAACTAATTTTTTTCTAGATTAATTTATTATTTTTATACATTAAAAATTGAAAAACTTTGAATGCATTTAATTAGAGGCTGGATTTGACACTCCAAATTTGAAGTCTCTAAATTAAAATATTAATTTAAAAACTCTTTTTAAATATAATTTTAAAATTTACTCTTTAAAATAAAAGACATCTCATGTTTAAAAAATCTTTTGAAGATGTTCTTACATGCTTGTCATCCATACATCTCGAAAAACTCATTTTTAGTATCAACTTATTCCCCACTTATTTTTATATTTTAATAACAAAATCTTAAATTGTTTATGAACGCTTTCACAAGCTTGTTCTCGATAATGATATTTAACTTCAAAAATGACTAGTCCAGTGGCAACGAAAAACCTGCAAATTCAAGTCAAGAAAATACCATAAAAAGATAATGACATTAAAGTGAGATCCAATAGGTAGAGTTTTACCAAGGAGAAAGCCCTGTCATCTACACGGTTGAATTTATAACTGAGTTCAACAACCACCTAAAGAAGCTAACAACAATCTCCATTTCTAATGAAGAAAAGTTGGACAAATTACAATAACAGATTCTGTTAAAAGCATTTTCTCGATATTTCTTCTCTATTCACAAGCCAATTTGGTGTCAAAGCTGCTCAAGCAGATTGCAAATGCCTGAAAAGCAGATAATGGATAACGGTAGTCCATGGTGAACATATCTTTACCGACCTTGCCAAACTGGAGGATGATTTTATCGTGGTCTGACGACTGTGATGATTGAGAAGACGGTTGCACATTAGTGGTTGGTTGATTGGCTGCAATCAACTGAAAATTCTTGACCGACGCAACCGTTACTCGCCCTCGGAAATTGAGGCACCAGCATTGTAATTGTTCGTGCCATCTGGGAGACTTGTTCTTGAGAATCAGTGGTCCTGATTTGCTATCATTGTCCTCATTGGCCAACCGGGCAATATCAGAGAAACGTGAGCTGCTAAACTCAGTAGATTGATCGAGAGTTTTTGAGAAGGAGATGCTCCGAAATGAGTCCTCGAGGGGCCTCTGAAGAAGCTCAGGTTGTCCAGGTACTACCCCACCGGGTTCAAGGGACGAGAAAGGTATTGAGTGCATCATACAGTGCATCCTCCGGGGACCCCGTGTCCCAAGAACATTCAGCTCATATGTAATTTGGGCTATGTTGTAGCTGCCAGTCGGTACTTTTGGAGAAACTTTCTTGGAATAGAATCTACGACTTGTTTTTCCAGGTGAAGGGATGTGTGAACCAGTATGTGGAGGCTGTGTATCATATATTATAAACTTCGTACCAAGAAAATTTGATCTGCAAAAAGCAGCAAGTTTTTCAAGTTAATATTGAGAATATCTACATCAATTTGGGGGTAAAAGTAACAAAAATAAGGATTCTGTACCAAAAGAAGCAAATCAGGGATATATACTGTCTCCGAGGAAAGAAGATAACAGGAAGATAATGCATGCTACAATTATGAAAATCTTTTTCTGCAGAAACCAAGAACTAGTTGTACTGAAAATCTGGATAAATTCCTTTCGTTCCCATGTGCCACACTCCAAGACAAATTTTATGCAGCTTACTCTAGCCTCAAATTCACCCTTCAAGGGTGGAAGTGGGACCTCTTGAGAACCATACATATTTGGCACCTATACAACTTTTAGGATGTGTCCATGCTGTCATGATTTAAATTTTTTAGAGATCTCCCTTGATAAAAGATCTTTTTTTCTTTTTCTTTTTTTTTCCCAAACCACTGAATAAGCTCATTCGTCTTAGGCATTTCCAATGACTACAGGATCATATTCAATTTTAAAACAAATTGCGAAAAAAAAAATTGTATATTTTCCCAAGTTAATAGATTGGAATTCCAAGCATGGAATAACTCAGCTTCCTGAGTAAAATAAAGCCTTTGGTTAAGATTTTTCTATAAAGAACAGTAATTTATGTACTAAACCTCGCATTGAAAAATATATTAGATTCTCAAGAAATTATTATGTAATCTGAAATGGAAACACACATAAAAAGTAATTACGCATAAAGATACAACAAAATTTTCATTCAATTCTACCTTAGTTTCCCGATATAAGCGCTGCTTGATCTAGAAATGTTATCTGCATCCATAGAGATAACATACTCTGTACAAGTAGTTCGACGGGTTCTTTTCGCAGAGAGAAGGAACTTGCCATTTTCAACTAGCAAAGCTGACACAGTTAAATTGCAACTTGCATTAGAAGAGTGTAAACAAAGGGTTTCAAGTGTTCGGAATCAAATATGGATTTGCTCGACAGAAAATTGATGACAAAATATGACCTATTATGCATACTGAACGAAGAACTACTCTTCCAAAATGGAAAATAATATTTGAAATATCAATGCCTGAACATTTATTTCAATGATTCCTTTTCCCTTCAAACTACTTAACCACACTAGTTAACTTTATTAAAAAGAAAAGAATGTACAAATGCAAATTTGCAAGATGAGAAATTTTCATGATAACAAATAGAGCACATAATCGTAATCATTGCTAAATCAAATACTAAACAACTCACCAGGACTAAGACACAGGTAAAGACGATATGTTAAATTAGATTTGTCCCGCTTAATGAAGCACTGAAAGGTTCCATCACGAGGTCCTGGCTGTAAAGAGAAAAAGGCTAGATTTACAATTTGTTCATTGCAGAAGTATTGAATGTGGTATCTGTGATGTCAATGCACACATAATCTAGTGAGAATAACATGTACACAAACATAATCAGTTAATGGAATGAACATGAACGGGTCAAAAGCATGATAGATGGTAGGAATTAGGAAATAACCTGCTTTAAGGAAACGGGAAAAGTGAGCTTCCCGCATAACTCTGGACTTTTGACAATTTCCTTACACATAATCCTCCATGATCGGCAAACAGCAGAGCATGCAACCACGTGTTTTCGAGCAGGCCATGTGCTCTCACTCTCTTCCAACCTTCTAACGACATCAAAAAGTAACTCTGGTGGAAGATTAGCCCATTTACTATTCTGAATTACCAAAGGTTGGTCATTCAGGTCAGGGAATGAACCATGTGATTTTCCCCTGTGATGACCAATCAGTTTTACATCAAAACCCCTCCGGGATAAACTCCCCAAACCGTCTCTTATATCGCGAGCTATACTGCGGAACGACATTAATCTCAAACTGCTAATCAGAAAATAAATGGCAGAAGCTTTCCTGATCCTTTATATTGTATAAATCTTTTCGCAATATTTTATAGCTTCCCTACATATAAAGTTGACTGCAAATGAGCAAAAGCGAATTTCAGAATAAATAAACATATATCCAAGAAGAAACAAAGAAAGGGAGAAGGAGAAAAGATATGTACAGAGAAAAGAGGAGAGGAATGGAAAAAAAGATTCCATGTGGAGTTTAAAGCGAGGCAGTCACAAAACTATGCATTAGATACAACTTTTCTATGTTCTCGGTAGACTTTGTTTCCATAATTTCACTAGCAGAAGAAAAATCAAAGAATAAACTAGCGAATCAAGGTCTACTTTCCGCAGATAAAACTTGAGCAAGCCCTTATATATCCAGACAGAATCTGTAAAAAGAAATTCCAAACAAAGATCTAACATCTGCAAGACTTTAGCATTTGAGCTGTGTGCAGACATTAGTTTTTGTGTTAACCATTGTCTAAATTGATTTTGTTCAGGTGAAAAATACTTCATAATGTCCCCAAATGAATAAATGTCAACTGCAAAGGAGCTAAGGGATGATTTGCAAGATGCTTTACGAGAATATAACTGTAAATCAAAGAAAGCCGAGCACGCTATTCCGAGCTTTAAATGCAGTTCCTGAACTAAAATTTTGAAGTGCATAGACAGTAAACTCTACGGTGAAAGAAAATTAGCAAAATAATAATTAAAAAAAAAACAAAAATCACATGAATTTCTTTTAAAGAATCACAAGTTTAAGCTCCGAAAAATGTAAAGCCGCAAAATTTCACAAGTCTCTTTCCATTAATCACCAAAATCAAATAAAAAGACATAAAAATAAAAGGGAAAATCCTGAAATTTAAACACCATTGAGCAAACCCCAGCTCAATCCACGAGATTTTCAACTCGTTTTTCGCCAAAAAGAAAAAAAACACAAAATCTCAAGAAATGGAAAGAAAGATAATAACAAATGTGAAGGGAAGTTTAATCAAAGCCTCAAAAATATATAATGTTTCATGAAATTTTGAAGATGACGAAAAAATGAGATCAAAGATTCAAACCTCAGAAGAAGAAAATCTCGAAACCCAGGTCCACTGCAGTATATATGCGTGTTCTGACCAGAAAATTCAGGAATTTCAAAAGCAGATCGAGAAAAGAAAATACGGGTCAGAGCTCAGATACACGTAACAAAATACACAGACAAACCACCTTCTATTTCGCGTACTTGAAGAGAGTGGAGGAAAATGTCATCCGGGCTCTAAGATTGGATTAAATCTAGTTCAAAGAACCAGAGAGAGAGAGAGTGGGGAAGGAGAACAGGTATTAGAATAAAATAAAAAGATAAAAAGAAATAAAAGTCTCTGAATACTTTATCGGTGTTTGGTTACTTCGCAGAATAAGGTTTATTACATACATTGACCAAGGACATTGCCAGGAAGCAACTAGCCAATAGCCAATTTTGACTTTTTCAACTTTGATTTTCTGTCCTTTTGTAAATAAAAATAAGTTAATTAGCACGAAATATTCGTACCTTTCATGATTTTTGGCGCATTTCATCCCTATCTTTACCTTTTATTGTGCAAAAATGATTTTCATCATTTTTCTAAATAAAAAGTTATAAAATGACTAATATATCATTCTATTTAAATAAAAAAATATAGAATTAAATGAAATCGTAGTTCCAAATAAAAAATAAATAAATTTTCCACCTCCACCTCCTCTTTTGAACTTTTTTGAACATTGAAAATATGATTGCAATTAGTTGTTTATTTTTTTATATTTAAATAGAATGGTATATTAGTCATTTTATAACTTTTTATTGAGAAAATTGATGAAAATGATGTTTTCCACAAGAAAAAATAAAGGTAGGGATAAAATGTGCCAAAAAAGAAAGGTATGGACGTTTTTCACAAAAATCATAAAAAATATGGACGTTTTGTGTTAATTACCGTAACAATAAATTGTATACAAAACACAGAGCTCTGACTTGCACTATAAATTTTGAAAAAAAAATTTCCTATTTTTTTTTTTCTGAATGAGCAAAGTGCAGGTTGAATTATTATTGAGTTCTTTAAGAAAAAAAATTGAAATGAACTTAATGAAATAATTATTGATTTAATATATTTTGAACGGTATCAATTTTGAATACTAAATGCACAACAAGGTTTACATAATTTTAAAATAAAATCTCCTTTCATCTTTTCATCGATACAAGCATGTCATTTTGATCGATAAAATCATATCGTTTTGCATAAAATTTTTGGATCAATTTATAGAAGAAGAATATACACGTAAATTCACGAATTCAATGCAGGTCAAAAAAAATACCATTTTCGTAATTTACAACACGTTTTACATTAAAAATAAATAGTTAAAGATGTGTTTGGTTTGCGTTTCTATTTTCTATTTTCAGTTTTAAATTCATTTTTTATTTTTATTTTGAGAGATTATTTTAATGTTACTGAAAAAAGTATTTGGTTTGTCATTCTGAAAAAAAAAAAAATTTCTTGAAATAAAAAAAAAAATTAGAAAACGTGTGTAATTTAAACATTTTAGAAATAACTTTATGACATTTTAGAGGATTATGGAAAGAGAAAGATAGAGGGAGAGGGAGAGGGCGAGGGATAGGGGTATTTGTGTTTGTATAAGTTTTGTATGATTTTTTTAATTATTTTAATTTGAAAAAATTTTAAACTCATTTTCTTCGTTTTGAGTGTTTTCATCGTCAAATAGTCGTTTTGAGTTTTGTGTTATAAAATTTTCATTGTTTTTAAAACCGTATTTTTGAAAATAACATACTAAAAACATTTTGAGTGTTTTCGAAAAATAAAAACGATCTCAAAATGACAAATAAAACGCACTCTAATATTTTCTAACGACTACTCAGAAAAGTCACGAAATTATGGCATTAAAGGATGCAAAACATAATTGAGTTTTGCTTCTCGTCCAGGGTTGGAGACGGGGGAAAACAGCGGCGCCATATGGACAGGGAGCTTTTTTCAACATAATTTTAGACTACTCCTATGTCGGTCTTGTGCAAAAATGATGACTCAGTTGAAAATTAAAGATTTTCTTTCTTCCTTCCTTCCTCTTTTTTTTTTTTTTTTTTTTTTTTCTTTAAATGGCATTTTTTTTTTTTTTTTTTTTTTTCCTTTAAACGGTACGATTTAATAATTATCTAAACAGAATTGAACCAATTGATATTTTATAAGTATTGGTATTAAAAATTACAATTTTTTTATTCCCCACAATTGCCTCGTTCTATATTAGCCTATTAGATAAAGGTAACGATAGATAGAATAATAACCCTGCTATTAATTTAGTAGGGTGTCAAAATAAGTGTGGCCATAGATTTGTTAGTAGTTGATCTTATCCTCTATCTCGTAGTGATTAAATTTTATTTTGATTTAAAATCGAAGTCAACAATTCATTTTAATCACATATTTTAATGGGCTCATAATTTTTCGACCACGTATTTTATCAACTTTCTAGAGTTACAAATTTTATTAAAGGAAAAAAAAATATATGTTCATTTTGTGATATAATAAGAAAGAGTGTTATTTATAAACGATTTGCAATAAAAAGGAATACATGAACCTTATTTGATTTTTGTCGGTTTGTCACTTTCACATTTTCTGTATTAATCTAAAAAAATTTAAATATCAAATTGGCAAATCTTATACGTAATCACGAAGAAGAGATTGATGTTTTCTCATCATACGTCAATTTGTTGGTTTTAAATAACAAAATGCCTATCGTAATATTGAAGAAAAGAAGAAAATATAATCATAATCTTTCATTAGAAATTATAATCTCAATGACGAAAATAAAAGAATTATCTAAACGCAATTATTTATTTTCCAGACTTATTATTCTCTCATTTATTTATGATTAATGGGCGTTAAGTTGACTTTTTCATTTTTTCCTTATTTAAGATTTAAAATCAGTGTAATCGTTCATAGAGCAGCATCTTCTTGAAGATAAAGCAATTAAAAAATAAAAAAATAAAAAATTGATTCCATGGCTTGCTTTTGCTTTTGGTCGCATATTTACATTTAAAGGGGTAGCCACTTTAGCCCTTGTTTGATGTCCATTAAAATAGTTCTTCTTTTTTCTTTTCTTTTTTCCTTCTTTTTTTTTTTTTTTTTAAAGAATGTGTAGATAAAAAGTTTGAATTTACATGCAAAATATTTTATTGTGAGAATGTAACTGGAGATGAATTTTAGAAAAAAAATGTTTTAGAAAAATGATAGACAAATATGGACTTAATAATCTACCCTAGCCGTGTACACCGAATGAAGTGAGTTTGAGATCGATTTTATGGATATGTTCATCTCCATTTCCTATTGAATGTGCATGATACGTGCAATTATGATAAATGCATGAAATAGTTGTATATTTGAGATCAAATTTGATTGTACAACATGTTTGAACCCGATTTTTGGCTAAAACTGCAGTTTGAAATAGTTGATTGATAGAGAATGTAATTAAAAAATAAAGAAAAATTTTGGATTTACATCTAATATTATTTTATCGAAGAATACGTAATTGAAAAGAAAAAAGAAAAAATACATTTTAGAAATAATGAGGATCAAACAAGGGTTAAATGTTTTTTAACCTCTTCGAGATGAGAAGTGCATGATACATGTAATTGTGATACGTTCACTAATTGACTTATTATAAATGTAAACATCAAAATCTTAATTAAGCCTCAATCACAATAAACTTGAGATCGATTGATTTAATGAATATTTTTTCTTAGACAGGAAGTGCACTATACATATAGCTATGATAAATTCATGAATTGACAAACTCAGTACTATCAATACTTGGCATTAGTTAAAGGAACCAATCCGTTTTTTCTTTTTTTTCTTTTTTTTTTTTTTTTGGTTTGGGTAATTAAGCAAATCGCTATTTTGGGACTTTCTCCAATAATGCAGCATGAATCAAGACGATCTTTTTTCACATTGACAAACATAATTTACTTTATTCATTTTTATTTATTTATTTATTTTTTGTTTTTAACAAAAAGAACAAAAGAATTGACTTAGATCAAGAAAGTCATTCTTTTAAAAGGAAAAAGAGGAAAGAAATTTTGATTTGCGTGGAAAATAAGGTGTGATTGGCTTAGTGATATACGGTCCTGATTTATCTTTTGACATTGAAAAAGAAAGAAAAAAGGAGTAAATGGGGACAATAATGGCCTATAGCATGCCCCAAGCATTTGACATAGAACGATTTGACAATAATACCCCTTTCACCATAGTATATTATTGGATGCTCAAAAGGAGCAAATTTTTTTGTGGAAAAGCTTGTCAAAATCATTTTGGGCACATGCAATCTTACCTTTACCGCACTATTTTTTGATTCTTTCACGGCATGCAATGAAAAGTATAGCATCCAATGATCGTATACTATCGCCTCCTTTGAGGCTTTGACAAAACTTTGATAAAGTTTTATCAATATTTTAATTGATCAAATTTCAATTTTATTAAATAATTCATAAAATTTACAAATTTTATCAACTTTTTACTCACACATTTCATTAATTTTTATTAAAAGCTCTGTCACATATGCTTTAAATGGACTTGGCAATGCATTAATTTATTTCAAAATGTAAGCCCTATAAGCATTTTTTTTATTTTTTTATTTTTGTATTTGTTAAACATGTAGTTGATTTTAATTTTCTATTATGTCTAGAATATAGAAGATAGTTCATATAATTTATCTCAACTTTATGGACTACGATTTTATTATTATTATGATTATTATTTTATTATTTTTTTGGGAAATCTTTTTACCCATTGTTGCTATTGGTAATAAGCATTTTCTCAAAAAAGGGAGAAATTCATCTATAAAGGGTACAGATAAATGAGAATATATATCTTTCAGATTGTTTTAATGGCTCTATGTCTATATATCATAATCGTATTTATGTCATTGTCGAATATAGTTATTTAGAATATACTTACTTTCAAATAAAAATGTAATTTCTTGAAGCCTTTACATATTAAAAGAAAAAAAAAAGTGTTAGAGCCGATTGGCTAGCTGAACTCGAGCATAACAAAGTAGTATTTTACTGATTTAGTTGATCTGGGCTTTTGCTTGGGGGCTCATTCAGCAATCGAAGATATAATTGGGCTACATCAAGTCACTTGGAGCCTGCTTGTTCGTGGATTTTAACATGTTTTAGAGTCCAAGTAAGTATGTTTGTGGGCCATCTCCAATTTTTTCATTGGAAATCGACATAAATAACAAATGAGGCCAATATATAATTCTTCACACTTCTTAGAGCACTAGTGAGAACATCGCATGGTGAATGTCATCGATTATCTAGTTAACACAATGCGATTGAACCAAATTTGAGTTTGATTCTCAATTTTACTTGCTGAATCGATCTATCTGATTCAATTTTTAAAAAATTGTTCATAATTGAACTATCACTTGACTTATATGGAGTTGTAATATTTATGTCATTATTTTCTTTAAGAAAATGGATGACAACTTTTGACTTGGAACAATTCAAAAAATCATGACTCTTTTTTGTTTCTCATAAATTCATCTCATCTAAGATGTCAACTTCAAAGGAGTCTTTAGTACATAAGGAATGAAGGATGATGTAAGTCTAACCTTTTATAGATGTTGCTCCAAAGATTAATCGCATTAGATTATCACACTATGCATCTCGTCTAGCCACTCATATTTGAATAGCTATATAAATAATTAATTTGAACAAATGAAGAACATAATTAGCAAAAAAATCAGTGAAATACCTCAGTATAATTAGATTTACTAAAAGAACACCAAAATATATTGTTACAACAATAAAAGAACTTGCAGTAGTGTTTGATTATTTAATGAACACTGACTATTTAAGGTAGCTAGCTCAGTTAAATTAAAACATTTATGTTTCATATTTTTTGATTGGGAACACTAGACTCTAGATCCACTTCTTCGTCATCAAATGTTTTTATTTCTGTTTCTGGAAGAAAATTAGGAGCAATAGCCATTATGTTGCTACCATGATCAGTGTTTATACTCTTGATGCTTTCTGATGCAATATTGTCCGTTCGATCTGCCTCTTTAAAGCTCTTTTTTGGCATAAGTTGATTATTCCTCATTTCTTTGCTTTTTCCCCATAGCACTATATATAACCCTAACACTATTATTGTAGCTCCTATCACACTGAAAAGAATATACAAAAAATTAGAATCCAAATTTGAATAAAAGATTTTTGTTATTTGGCAATAATTAAATTACGACAAAAAAAATATTTACCTTCCCAAGTGTAATTTCTCGTCGAGGAGTAAAGACCCAGCAAGCGCAACGAGGACAAGCAATAGAGGATTAAAAATAGATACAAAAAGTGGTCCTCTCATTTGAATGCAGTACATGAGGCATACCCACATTAATCCTGAAGCCACAATTCCCTACACGTATAGGTAACTAATAAGTTTATGGAAAATTTAATTCACAAACATTTAAAAACGTAAATTTGCTCTAGTTAGTTGACAAGCTTTTAACCAAAGTTTCCTTTCAAAGATTGACCACCTAGAAGTATATCACTAGATTGAAAGCATTTTGACGAAGACAGTACTTGGAGGGGTATTACTTTCGACGGTTGAACTTGACTTTTTTTTTTTCTTTTTTTATCCAGATTAGAACTAATAGATTTTTAATGGTGTCACGAGTGCAGGAGCACATATTACACAATAGTGCATAACTAGTTATATTTCTTTACATTGTGCCAAGTGACAACAAATCATTGGATAGTCAACCATCATGTCAAGAAAGAGTGTACAAGTGGCACTTTTCTATTTAGATGCAAGTTGGTGGAGTGTACGATAGTCGATATACATGTATACCGAAGTTATTTGTATCATACATACCATATAAGCTGCACTGAGAAGTCTGAGGTTCCAGCCGAGCTTCCATTGGTTCCAGTCTCTTTCCATTGAAAGTGCATATATAAATGCTTGAATAGTCCCCATTACTGATACAAGAGCAGTACTAGAATAATGACAAGGATATACCTTACTCATTTTGGCCTGTTGTCATCACAAAAGAATGTCCTAAGTTTCAATACAAAATTAAATTATCATTCTTAATAATTTATAAATATTTTGTAAGGTTCACCTGAACAATCAAAGAAAATGCAACAGAGACACAACTAGCAAGTGCGAACAAAGGACCCAATACTTGATTTATGGGCGTTTTGTGGGATGCTGTTACGTGTCCAACCTGATTTTTGTTATTTTTCAAAAGGTCTAAATGGGTTGACCATATATTAATTTCGTACCCCTTGTAAAAAGTCAGAATCATTGCACCTCCTATGCCCATGAATGTTCCAACTACTTTTGCTTTCCCTGCCTTTGTACTTAACTCCAACTTCTCCAGCCTAATTACAATCATATATGCACAAATTTTCAGTTCTAATTTACATAACAAAGGAAAAAAATAATTATAAATTAGTATCAACCATAAAAAAATATAAAATATTATTAATATTAATATCATTATTTACCAACGCACTTGAAGAGTATCGCGAGAATGAATGTTATGGCAGGAATGAGATTGGCCATAGCTGCAGCGAACGTGGCTGAGGTTAACGCTAAGCTCTCTGCATATAGATTTTGTGCCATTGATCCCCTGCAGTTTAATTGGAGATTGATGTAGATTATAATGATAATACAATATGTAAAATAATTAACAGATAGCATGGCGAAGACATTTGAGAAGCGTCTAAAACAAAAAGAAAAATGAGGAACAAATGACTAAAAAAAATAATAACAATTAACGAAATTTGGTGTTTATGTTATTATGTATCAGATGTCAATTAAGTGGCATTAACAGTCTTGAAAATGAAAAATTTTAATACAGCAGTATAGACGTGACCAGCATGATAAGCAGGCCAAAATGAACTGAAAATCTTTATTAAATAAGACAGATTGAATTCTTTTCATTTCATTTTATTTTTATTTTTATTTTTATTTCTAAGGATTTTATTAGGGTGAATCAGTGATTTGTGTGTAGATAATCAATTAAAATAACAGAAACACTATAATTCAATAGTAATATAAACTTTAGAAGATACTTAGGAAAGCAAGCTTTAAAGAGTTACGTGAAAGATGCTGTTCTAAAGTCGTATTGCCTTCTTTTCGTACGGGAACTTTTGACGCTACACGCTATAAGATAAAATTCATATAATTCACAGCTAATTCTCCTTCCATAGGCACGATTACAAGAAAATAAAGAGCGAGCTTCTCATCGAATTGGCAAAAACTATATGAATATGAGAATATAAAATGTATATGGACGAATAATCCTTTAACTTATGTTTTCAAGTTTTATATCTAACAAATAAATATCACGTCTTCAACCACCCATAATTAAATATAAGTTACACGGTAAAATTAAGGTGTTTGAATTTTGAATTTAATCAACACAAAACTGAAAATAAATCAATATTTATTTTGTAAAGCTGTAAGTTTAAAACTTTTAAAAACTGTGATGACACTTTTGGCTAGAAATAACGAGAAGCAAAATTTGGTTTGGCTTTCTCTAGAAAAATGGAATGCTGAGTAGATAATTGTAATCCAATTTACCTTGACAACTCAAAATTAAACTAAATTCGTTCATACCTAAAGGTATTATCATCAAATAATTAATCTGGTAATTAACTCACCCAAACAAAGCAATAAGAAATGCTTGGAAGACAATCGTCCATGTCAATTTTGGCCTTTTTTGCCTGCAGAGATTAGCAGAATCAGATAAATATTGAGGCAACAGTTAAGGAAAAAGTTTTTCACAACGAAGTGAAGAAGTTTCTCAAAACTTTTGAGAACTGAAAAAGTCAGAAATCTATTGATGATAATTACCATGCAGTCGCAAAGTGACTTTTGAATATTATACTGTAACTGATGAATTTATAAATCTATACCTTTCGAGGATCAGGGCGAGAGGAAGAACAGTGAGTGCAGCAAACATGAAGCGGTAAGCCACCAAAACCTTCAAGCTGATGCCATGGTTTGCGGCTAGTTTGTAAAAAACATTAACTCCGGCTAATGCTATCTGTACACCCACCATCATTATCGTTGGCTTCAGTCCCTCAACTATAACACACAGTTTCCCCATTGTATATTCCATCCTAGCACGCTAGCGTGTGTGTAACGAAAGAGAAAATCAAGAAGGCAAGAAGATGAAGATTTTTTTCCCCTCACTTCTTGCTTTTATGTGGGTCTTTATAGAGTTCAGAATGAGGGTTAAGAGGTATATATAATAGTTGGCTGAATGTGTAGAAAGTGCATGAACTTGGGGTGGGGGTGGGAGTGGGGGGTGGAGTAGGCTATTTATTGGATTCAACAAAACGAGGTTTTGCTATTTTCCGACGTAAGAGAGAAGGAAAATATAATGTTGTTCTCTGAGCGTGGAGGATTTGAAACAGTGTTCGGTGAATGACTTTATTTGACTCCACAGAGACGTGTTTAGTTTAGGCTGCACTTGCAAGGGCGTCATCTACTCATCATTTTAATTTTACGGTATAAATATTTTTCTTCATTAATAAGATATTATATTGTTGAAAAGTTAATCAAAGTTACGAATCACATTATTGTTAAAATTAGAAGTTAGTTTTACCGGTAAAAAATACTACTTTAAGTGGCACGTAAGTATCATTAATTGATAGATCGCCTTAAAAATATGAAAATAAATCATATTTAAGATGTCCAATCATTTGCATGATATCCAGACTAATGCTAGATAATATTATTTTAACTTAGGTTTTTATCAACTTTTTAACGAAATCAAATAGGGCCTAAATTCATAATGCATTTTACGAGGATTTTATCTTTCTTAAGTTAACATATTGTGATTTTTTTCGAGAGGCGGGTCAAATAATTTGGAGGCATTAAGACAATCGTTAGGGTGTTTTTTCAAAACAACAATAAAAATTTACAAAGCAAACGATAATTGACAGAAATTCAATCGATGTCATTGACGTAATGATTGTAGTGATTACGATTGAAGTCTATATTCGTTGGTAATTATCGATACACATTTGTCAGTGATTGTCGATGTTGTTAATGAGAATCAACGAAGGTTATTTAGTTGAGAAAGAATTGAGGGCTTTCCAATGAATCGAGGCCTATGTTATTGTCTAACTCATTCAACACTTGAATAAACTCTAATTTTTTTGTTGAAATATTAATC